TTACCCATCAGTTGCCATCTGTGGTTGGAGAAGCAGCTCTTTCACTGACCGTTGCTTTTGAAAATTAAAATGCTGATGTAAGGCAGATAAAGCAGAGGCATTTTTGCAATCTCTCCCGGTGACTGTTCCTTGGCTAGTTAACAGACCATCTATTCAGAAACAATTTTCTTTGGGCTGAAATTATGTGCTGACCGTAGCAGATCACTTCCCATTATACCCCTTCCCCCACCCAACGCTAAATACAAACTGTCTCCTACTCACTGTATAATAATGTGAAAATGACTGTAATTTTGCAGACGAGAAGCAGCCCAAAGTGAAACGTGTCTAAACAGAGGTCGATACTGAAAAATCAGGGCCATTACCTACATCTCAAAAATACATACAGTAGAGAAACAGCAATAGTGATGCACGACTAAGTAGACTAAAAGAAGTAGGTTTGGTGTTGCTGATCTTAAAAATTTTGCTAACCACTGAGTGACATTACCCAAGAGTTATCCCGGGGAAACAGCGATTTTCGATACCTTGTAACATTATGCATGCTTATTCCCCCACGAATTGCAAATGCTGTGGCCCCTCCCTGGCCGGAGGCTCCCAGTGTCTCCAGCCTTCTCCGCTGCCACACCGACTGGGAAGCGGCCCTTCGGAGGCCCTCCTTGAGAGTATCCTTGGGTTGTCTGAAGGCCCGGGCGGGAGGGCAAGGATATGTTCACTGTTCACACCTCCGCATTTTTTGTTTGTGCCCCTTTTTTTTCCCCCTTCTCCCCTCCCCCCTTTGTAATGGCTTAAAAATTTAATGCGATCGAGGGCCTCCTTGACAATGAACTTATCCCTGCTAACAAACTCTTCGTTATCAGAACATGAAAGGGAAGTGTTTTTACACCAGAACTGGAGCGGTTTTAGTTCGGGCAGCTCCAAGGGCTCCCAAGGGCGCGTGCGCTGGTGACCCTAGTGCCGGCAGTGTGAGGCTGGAGGGGCAATCGGGAGCCGGGGCTCAGAGGATCGGGAGGGCAGCCTTTCCTGCCGAGGCCCGTGGTCGTGGTGACCTGGTGGGTAAGGCATGGTCGGATGCCACACCACGGGCGGATTTTACCCCCACACGGCTTGTTTCACGTTCTGTAAAGCCCTCGCTGCGAAGCAGGTTCAGGGAGGTTTGCTCCTCCGGTACCTCTCCGCTAATCGCCCCTTGGATGGGAAGTGCGTAAAACGGGGGCGCGATCGCGCGTGCTTTGCTCAGCTGGATGAGGTCCAAAGGAGGTATTTTGTCACCCTGTCATGGGTGTGCAGGACATCGTAAATGCCACGGTTTGACTTTTCGCCGGAAACCTTGACTTGGGCAACGCGTGCGTTTGGCAAGAAAAACATCCCGTATCGATTTTCACAGGGAGATCAGTCCCAGAGAGATCAAGGGAAAAGGCGGGAGGGGGGAGGGGGGAGAGAGGAAAAAAAAAAATAGACCGTGCTTAAGTGTATGAAAAGGGACAGGGTGCCTGCGGGGCCAGGGGCCGTGTCCCGTCCCGTCCCGCCCCGCCCCCCTTCCCCCGGTGCCCGCGGGCGGCCGCCGCCGCCCCCACCCCACCCCACCCCACCCCACTCCCACCGTCCGCGAAGGGTTAAACGCAATTTAACGCAGTGGTGTAGCATAATGGCTCCCAACGTAAACAAAAGGAATGATTAAGGGGGATATTTTCGAGCTACACAAAGCCCGATAGGGAAGATTTGTGTTACTAATTCCTGTGAAAGGATGTTCACGTGGTAGTTATAGGGTCGCTGGCATTCACACTTCAGTGCGTGCGGCAGTAAATCAGCAGTCTGGAAACAAAAGGGTTATTTTCTGCTCCCCCTCCTTCCGAAAAAGAGGGGGGGGGGGGTTAGAAAGGAAGAAAGAAAGAATAAAACCCGACCTGCCTAACTTAAGCCATATTGTAAAAACGAACATGTAATAAAATACGCGAGGAGCTGTAGAAAGTTGATGCAAGAAAGAGGGCTGATTCGAGAGCAGAGCAGCGGCTAGGTGCCCCCCCCCCAGCAGAGGTGGGGGTGCTGCCCTGCCCTGAACCTCCCCTCGGCCCCTTCCTCCAGACACTGTTTGCTTTTCTCCTCCACTAAGCACGAAAATAATCGCACATGTGTATCAGCAGCCCTCTCTCGCTGGCTTCAAGCTGTTATAATCTTGAATGAGGGGGCATTTAAAAATTATGACTGAGATTCTAAATTGCCTCTTTGAAACCGGCACAGAAAAATCATTCATCATCGCTTCGAAAACTGCCCTGAAATTAAATTAAAAAGAAATGAGGGAGTCTTCCTCCCGACATGTGAGTCTTGGCAGAGCTACTCTCCACCTTGGTTTTCTATTTTTTTCCTCCTTCCTCCCGCTCTCTTTCCTCTTTTTTTTTTTTTTGTTCCCCCTCATTTTTTTTTTCTCCTCTCCCTAAGCCCTAAATGTTATATAGGATAATTGAAATGGGAAACACGATTTGCAGCTGGCTGCAGCGAGGAGGCTGCCGGTTCGGTGTAGGCTGAGGGCTCCGTAGCGAGGGGCTGGGTGTGTGTGTGTGTGTGTGTGTGTGTGTGTGTGTACGAAGTGTGTCTCAGCGAGTGAGTGCCCGACGTGCGAGTGAGCGAGTGCGTGTCTCTGTCTCTCGCCCTCGCCGGCAGGCAGGAGGAGCGGCGGGCCAATCGGAGGGCCTGGTTTCATAAAAGCTGGATTCTGATTGGGCGGCAGGGAAAGGGCATCGCGAACAAAGAAAAGTCCCTCTCAGGTACCGCGCGGAGCGGAGCTCCCACTCCCCCGCCTCGGCCGCTGCCGTGGGGGCAGCGCCCCTGTCCCCTGTGAGCGTGTCAGCCTGTGAGGGGACAGACACACATGCCGTTTTTGCCTTCTCTGCCCCGTTTTTATTTTGTTTTATTATATTTTATTTTTGTTGTTTTAATTTTGTTTCTAGAAAGAAAGGAAGGTTCATGGTTATTTGGTGCTCTCTTCTTCCAAACACAATAAATCTGTTGAAGACATTAGATTTTTTTTCCTAAAATAAAAAGCGGCTGCAACAAAAACACACTCAATGCAGTTAGAAGGAAAAGGTCAACTCGATCCAATACAGACCGTAAGTACGGTTGCGTGGTGTGTCTATAGCACTTAGAGGGGATTTTTTTTTTCTCTGCAAAGGGGAGTGTTAAAAGAGTTTTGGGAGTTAACTAGGGTTCTTTGGGATTTTTAAAAGAGAAAAAAAAATAAATCCCACAAACAGGGTGAGTTATTTGAGGGAACTGACGGCGAAAACAGTGTAGCCACACAAATACTTGACGGTGCACTTGGGGGGGCGTTAAAGCGTAGTGCCTTTTTGGGATTTTAACTAAGCAAGGGGGGGGGGGGGATAAAAGTGACACCATTACAGACAACCCTGTATGGCTTCCCCGCCCCCCTCGGTCCCGAGAGCACGGCGCTCGCTCGCAGAAGCGATGGGGCACCGACAGACGGGGAGGCACCTCGCCAGTCACACGGAGACACCAAGAACGCGAGGCTGAAGCTGGGGGGTGCGTGTGTGGGGTCGCCCGTCGGTGGCTGATGCCTTGGCCGATTCCAGCGCCGTCTCGGTCTCCCTAGACCCGAGGCGCGGGGAAGGGAAAGCCCCGAGGTGGCGGCGCCCTCCGGGGAGACGGCGAGGGGCTCCGCGGGGCGTTCCTGGGGGGCAGCCCCGGGGCTCCAGGAGCTGCCGCCGGCCCGGCGCGGGGGCGGCGGTGAGCGCCGGGGCGGGCTGGGTGTGCTGCTCGGCGGTCACAGCCTCGCCGGGCCCGCCGGCCGCGCTCGGCTCCCATCTTGGCGGCGGCCAATGGAGCCCGCCGGCGTCACATGACGCGGGCGGCGCGAGCGGGCGGCGCGAGCGGGCGGCGGGACCCGCCGCGCCTCCCCCACACCCCCCGCTCCCGCCCTCCCGCCACCGGCAATTCATTACGGCTTTTAGCTTCCCATCGCCGGCTAATTAAAAATACTAAGCTAAAGCTCCGAGACCGTCTGACTTGGGGAAGGGAGGGTGGGAAGGGGGGTGGGGGGGAGGAAGAAAGGATAGCGGTAGACTGCGAGGTTTGCCGAGACAATAAGGTGGGAGCGATCTGTCCTGACAGAAAGGTCGTCTGCTTTATCTTCTCGGACTCTAATTACTGAATTACTTACCGCATGACTGATTAGCCCAAGCTCACGGGTTTTTCGTTGTTATTATTTTTTTTTCCCGAGACAGCAACTCGAAATTCTGATGCGTGCCTGTGCTTTTTTTTGTATTCCTGTTTTTAAAAAGAGCTGATCTAAGGCTGGAAGGGGGAGGGAGGAACGGACGGGGACAGACACCCCTCTCCCCGAAATCTTACCCCTGGGAAAATTTACTTCGTTTGAGAGCACGCAGTCCTTCCTCCCCTCCCACAAAATGTTTTGATAACCGGTTTATCAGATCAGTGATTCCTCCCTCCCGCTCCTCCTCCTCTTCCTCGCCCCCCCTCCCCCTCCCCCACGTCCCCCGCCCGTTTCCCCTCAAGTTACTTCAAGAAATCAGATCTGTCAGGACGGGCGAAAAAAATGCCACTTCCCAACTAACAGGCGGAATCCAGCCCAGATTTTCAGTCCTTTCTTCTTCTTTTTTTCCTTCCTCCCTTTCACTAATTTATCCCGATGTTAGCACATTCTGTCTTGTAACACCCGGGCGCCTGTAGGTTTGTTTCATGGGATCATTACTTACTGATCAGGATGGCTCCCGGGTCCGGGGCTGAAGACGGAGTGTGAAGTTGGGGAAACATTTTTTTTTTTTTTTAAATTACTGTGATGATTATTACCTCTCGGTGCTTATTCAGGAAAAGCAAACAAACAAAAATCTGGTCCTTGATGCTTCACTTCTGAATGTGAAATACTACCTACCAGCTGGTAAAGTTGTGAGGCACAGCATTTTTTTTCTTTTTTCTTTCCTTTTTTTTTTTTTTTTAAACAAAGAGGAAAAAACCTAAACAAACAAACAAAATCAAAAAAGGACTTCTGATCCGTGTGCCAAACTAGGGGGAGATATGTTATTGACCGATTTATACTGGCTGAGATGATACTTGCTTTCTACTTCTTGATCACTTGCTCTTTAAGTAAAATGAGGCACAGAGTTGTTGCTGAGACGAGTGGGAACAGCATTTTGATTTGCTGGTTTAATTAAAAAATTATGAAGGATTAAAGGTAAGCATTATGCATATATATATGTATAAATATTTCGGCAGTCGACTGTAAAAGGGAGAGATCCCTTTAAAAATCGTTTTAACTAAGCTTTGTCAAACACACACTCATTTGCGGTCACTGAGGCCACCTTGGTGCAGATCACTTAAAGTGTATGTCTTAATCAGTTTCCTGTACAGTCAGTAATACTATATTTAACAGACCTAACAATTTTGTGACCTAGGAGTACCTTAGAAATGTTTTTAGAACTGTTATCTTAAGAATATTTTTTAAAGGAAATTTTTATTTCTTCTCTTCTTTTTAATCTATGGAGTTTAATATTTTCCAGTAAACATTTGTGTTTATAGGTTGTTGTTTTTAACAGAAGCTGTATCGTGGCAAGGAAAATGAGGTTTCCCACTTCCCTTAGCGCTCTCTCCTCCCCCTCCCAAGAGATTAAGTGGAAGAGGGGTAAAAGATAATATAGGAGAGTCACAAAACTTCAAGGGTCTGGTTTAAAGCCACAAAATCCATGGAATGCAGTGAAGAGTGAATCCGTGTCCTTCCTTTTTTCTCTTTCGTGCCTAGGTGGTGGTCCAAGGGGTTAGATTACAACATGTGCTCCAACAGCTAGGCACCACTTCTAAGACTGTATTTCCTGAGCTTTGTGGATTTGAATCATGTAGTTAATTTTTTCTTTCCTTTTTTTTTTTTTTCTTTTGTGGGCATAGCTTTTTAAGAGAGACTGTGAATGTTGGTATACAACTAGATTAAAGATGCTCGGTATAAAAGCATGGCAGTCACTGCCTCAGGTTTAGCAAACTTAAGGAAAGAGTGTGGCAATGGTGAAAGATTTTGCTTCCCCCTACCTTACTCTTTTTTTATTGAGTCATGTTATATTCTGGTAACACCTAGACAAGAACTATTTGACTTTTTCCCTCCTCACAGGACAAGGTGGACGTGGACTGCACGTTGTGAGCCTAGACACACCTGAGGGAGGAAGACAAGAGTTGAACTTAAGAGAGAGCCCAACGGAGATAAACGAATGTCCCCACATCTCCAAAGGAAAGTTCATCAGATTTTTACTCTAGAGATCTCATATTCAGGATGTCATTGAACACTTCCACTGCAGGAAAAGGTGTGGATCCAAACGCAGTTGACACTTATGACAGTGGCGATGATTGGGAAATCGGTGTTGGGAATTTAATAATCGATTTGGATGCCGATTTGGAGAAGGACAGACAGAAATTTGAGATGAATAATTCTACTAATACCACCAGCAGCAGCAACACCAGCTCCAAGGATTGTGGGGGTCTGGCTTCCAGTGGGGCTAATGCTACCTCAGCCTTAGCTGATGGCCTAAAATTTGCTTCTGTTCAGCCCTCTGCTCCCCAGGGGAATTCCTCTCACAAAGAGACTAGCAAATCAAAAGTGAAAAGGAGTAAAACTTCTAAGGATGCTAATAAATCTCTGCCTTCTGCTGCCTTGTATGGGATTCCTGAGATCAGCAGTGCTGGCAAGAGGCAGGAAGTCCAAGGGCGCCCTGGAGAGGCAACTGGCATGAATTCAGCACTGGGTCAAAGCGTGAGCAGTAACCCAAACGGCAATAATAACACCACCAGCAACACCACCACCATTGCCTCTTGTGGGAAAAACAAAGAGGAGAAACCAGGTAAAGCCCTGGGGAGCAGAGGCTCCAAGCGGGATAAAGATGCAGGAAAATCCAGGAAGGACAAGCAGCATGACCTACAGCAGGGCCACCCCAATGGCAGTGGGGGTGGCAGCAGCCAAGTTTCCTCTGGGCACCTCTATGGCTTTGGGGCCAAGGGAGGCAGTGGTGGAAGCAGCAGCCCCTTTCACTGCACCTCCTCTGCTGTGGGGGAGGTGAGCAAAAGTACCCCGGATTCAGGGTTAATGGGGAACTCTATTTTGGTAAAGAAGGAAGAGGAGGAGGAGGAGAGCCACAGGCGAATCAAGAAATTGAAAACAGAAAAGGTAGGACAAAGCTCCTCTCCACCTCTTCTGTGTTTCCCTGTGTCTATAATAAGTGTCCCATGACCGTGCGTCTGGCGCCTGTGTCCTTCTCTCTGCTGTGTATTTGTAACATGCATCTGTTCTTCCTCTTTTCTTTAAAAAATCCAAACCAAAACCAAACCAGAGACCTCTTCCCTATACAGAAGACACCATGTTTTCAGTGTGCTGCTCTTCCTTATGATTTCCTCTCCCTGTCCTCAGACTTGGAGAATGTTTCTCTTTTGTCTGTTCCTTTTGATTGCACTCGCCCAGAAGGAGAAACCCCGAGGTGACCCCGACTTAACTGGCCCCAGTCTTAGCAGAAAGCAGCGGTATCCGTGGGATGGCATGTGTTCTCAGGCTGGGGTGTGCATAGCTCACGCTCCAGGAGCAGCAGGTCTTGTATGTGCTGACTCTCTTCCACAACACTGGCAGGCATTTGTGGCTGTTCCTCTCCCAAAGTCTAAAGGAACCCCTCTCCCTTCTCTGACCCACTGTCTGGAGCTGAGATTGTGCTTGGGGGAGGAAACAGGAGGTATCAGCGGAGACCTCCGCTGTTGCCCTTTGTGGAAATGCAGGATGCTTGTCATGTTGAGGGGTCCTGTGGTGCAGGAGCCCCAGAGGCCCCCAGAAGCTGGTGTAGCAGACTGGGAGGAAGGAGCTAGCAGACAGGCGGTGCCTCTCGTCTTCCTGGAAGGAGGATGCTGGGAGGAGGGAAATGCACTTTGTGCTGAGATATGTGTGTGCAAAACAGCTTTTGGAACAGAGGGGTGCAGTTTGTCTCCAGTCTGGGGGAGTTTTCCTCTCTGAGCTGCGCTGGCTCTTGGATTTGAACTACTTGTTTGTTGAGTGGTTGAAATGTATGAAAGAAATCAGACGGGGGTGTGTGTTTTTATTCTTTTCTATTAAATTACAAAGGATGCTTTCTGTAAGAATAGATGGCCATGACTCTATTCTCTGGGAAGGGTAGAGGGAGAGCTTGTTGTCTTTTGTTAACTGCTGGTTCAAGGAGATTCTGGTGTTGGTGGGAATTGTTCTGTCCCTAGGGCAGAAGGCATCTTCTGGGGGACCTGAGGGTGACTGGTTGCCAAGGATTACAACTTCAATGAATTCTACAGGTTGTTAAACAAAAGTAACCTGGTCTGCCTGAAAAATAAAGCAAACTAACACCTTCCAAACGAACAATCTCAGGATGTTAGAGTGTAACTGTATTGTCAGCTGTTGGTCTTAAATTACCTGCTTTTACAACTTCCCAGCGATGGGAAAACTTTTGGGTCGGTGTTAACTGGTCTGCATGTGTCTGGGAGGGCTGAAGGTCTCGGGGGAAAAGTTATGTCTTTTTACGACCGGGATACTGGCTTTTTGTATTTTGGTCATGTTGGAGTTTTTGTAATACAAAGTCGACTAGAAGATTAGATTTGGGTGTTTGTGACACGAGATATTTGTTAGTACTAGAAGATAATTTCAAGGGCTTTTGTTCAAGGCGAGGAACAAATTAAATTTTATATTGTATGCATATTATTGCTTTTAAGATAGCGTATCTGTGGTTGAATTTGAATGAGCCTTGTGACCTTTTCTAAATGCAGATGAGAAAACCAGATTGCTGTGTAATTCATGTGTACATGTTTGTGCTTTGATTTATGAAAAGTGCTGTTCGCGGTGGAAAGGTGTCCTAAAATCTCATGGTCTCTTTATTAACTTAGTACAGTGGGCATTTACTTCTGTTGCCAATAGTCTTCAAATTGCAGTTCTCTAATCTGTTTTAACTATCTAGATAAATTGCCCTAATCCGGTCTTCACAATGGCTGTGGTTAAAGAGTCAGAGCCATTTGATTGGATTCAGTGGCTGCCTGGAATGTGGGAGGTACTGCCCTTTTGCAACCTCCTTAGCCTTTTAATCTCTCAGCCAAATGTTCACATTCAACAATTTTGTTTAGCTGGCAATCTGAACATTTCAGTATCTCAAAGGCTGCTGCCATGGCAACAGAGATTAGAGGGTGGTGTGGTTTCTCCCGTTTTTGTGTTCTTTCAACTCTATAGTCACACAGGAAATTGTATGAAGAATCTATAAACGTACGAGTAATCTTATGTGCAATGTAAATGGGATGGCATGCAAATTTAGAGCAAACATGTATGGAGGGGTTCAGCGTCAGTGTACACTCTGTGTGTTGTAGATGTCGCTCCAGGAGGAGGTCTGGAGCTTGCATTTCCAGCGACTACCACTGCTGTTGGCACACACCGGCTTTAACATAGGCTTTGCACATCAGAGTCGTGCAGCCTTGGCCATTGTCTGGCACAATGGTGTGCTTACTTTCTGTCTTAAGTAACATCCCTTAGCGTTTTTCTTACCCAGGAATGTTCTCTTTTAGACGAACAGTAATGTTAATAATACAGCTTGTTGCTGACAATGATTGATACCTGAAGTCCAGCTAGTGGCAATATTAGTGACACTCAAGTGTTTTATGTTTGTTGTTATGGCTTTTTTCCCCCCAAATGATTAATAATCATTAGGAAGATATTTTTAAGGGGTTTATATTCCCGAAGTGTTATTGCTTTGACTGTTTATGCACTAGAACATACCTGATGTACTTGAAAAAAGCACTTTGTGTCTGTAGGTAAATATATGATTTTCAAGCATGCATGTTAAAATCAATTTCCAGTTATCTTACTGTTGTGCAAGACATGCCTTGTAAATTTGGAAGTTTCCTCTTAGAATCAAATGAGTTCATGCCTGCTGATTCAAAATCTACAGGTTTTTATATGTGGTGTGGAATATAATATTGCATTTGTTTACTATTTGTGAAAAGCTTGGAACAGATTCCCAGGAGTTGTAGTCACTGTTTAGCTTTCACAGCATGCTTCAATGTCTATTTTTAGTCTATTTATTCTGTTTCCTTGCTGCGGAAAGTCATGTAAAACATGATAAATTGGATCTTATGAAGCCTAATTAAATCAATGACTGTGTTCTGCTGGCTCTTTTATGCGGAAACCGCAAGTATGTTGTAAAAGTCGCCACTCCCCTAATATGTGGATAAAGTCAAAGTATGCTAAGATATTTGAGCTATATTTGTGCAGTCCATTTTGTGGTTAAGCCACCAGTGACATGTCTGAATAAGTAGCTTTGACAGGTAGGCTAACCACTCCTAAGATTTTTGGTGTTAAAACCTGTCTCCATTTTCCATTTCTCATCCATACCATTTTTAGCACAGTTAGTGACTGTTTGTCACATGAACTCTTCATCTGTTTCAGCTAAGTTTTTCTGTATTTTTAACAACTGTTATATTGAAAAGTGTTCAGGGTATCTACAAAAACTGCTTTGTGTGCATTGTGAGGAGATTTTGGGATTCAGTCACAGTTTGAGATATGGGAAAACTGTATTTGGTATGGGAAAATCAGTATGTTTACATTAAAATAGTACAGAAGACACAAAGCTGTAATTGGAGGGGTCTAGTTACAGTTCTAAATGTATCAGTGTAGTGATACTCCAGGATTGAATTTTTCTCTTTTATTAGCTCAGCGCTTCTCATTAAGACTGCATTTCTCATTTGAAAGTTGTCTTCAACAAATTAACGTTCTTGGCTTGTATTCTTTCATTCTTTATTTTATTTTCACTTTTTTTTTTTTATTTAAATGCAGGTTTTGAGGGTGTTTTGCACTTCATCAGGAATCTCTGGGTGCATTTTCCTGTTGATGTAAATTATTTAAGTACATGCTTTGATTAATGATGTTATGGAGATATGCTTTTCATGTACTTTTCTTGCCGGCCTTGTGTGTAGTTTATTCACTGTGAAATAAAAGGGCAGGGAGGTCACTTGCTGTAATTAAAGAACAAAGTCTATTGTTGTTTGACTGCAAACTGTTTTGAAAGCTACATAAGGGATTTAGCTGTTAAAAACATTGATAACTATGGATGTCTAACAATAAGCACAGCTCAAGGTTCTTAAAGTTCTGTAGTGCTGTCTAGTAGTGTGACGGTGCTTTTTGAGCTGGGTGAAGAGGTGTTGCCCTTTGGCTGAGGAAAGCTTTCCGTGCGAACCTGCTGACCTCTGCCAATATGTATGACCAGGTCTGCTATTGAATTCCTGTGCAAAGCAAGAGTTAGCGTAGCACAATGGAGGCTGGTCTAGAACATCTATCAAATCAAGTAGGGAAGCTGTCTGATAACCGTACTCGGAACCATTGGAAAAATATTTCATTTTGGGCATTGGTAATTTTACAATTTTAATAACTTCATAAATACCCAGTAAAAAGGAAAGGATTGATTGTCCAGATGTCATGAGGTTAACCATGTTCTCCATGTTAAAGGGCTTTCCTGCAAGACTGTTTTAATTATAGCTATATAAAGACTTGTTTTTCCAAAGTAGCATTTTATAGTCCAATAAATGAAATGTATGTTAAAAGTGCTAAGCAAAATCTCCCGTAACCATAGAGGTGTTCAATAACCAGATTCAAGTAACATGGAAAGTACCATCTGTTCCTAGTTTTCAGCATAAGCCCAGGAATTGAATAGCTGAGATTTGTTAGTATTTTTTCAACTTTCTTTCTTTTTTTAATTATTATTATCATTATTTTAAAAAGTTCACCTGGCACTTTATAGAAGCTTTCTGAAATGCAATAATACCAGAGAGACTGTGAAAACATGTGTTCGTACATACAGTTAACCAGTACTACTTTCATTTAAAGAGATTTCCAGAAGCCCAGTCATTGAAAAATTTATAATAGTGAATCACCTCCTGCAGGCAAACATAATAAGGGTCTGTTCTTCAAAGGTCTGACTGTTCAGGTAGAATCTGATTTACTGTGTCTTTCCTTACGAAGTAAAAGGAGAGGGGAAGAGAGGAACACCTCCCCCCCCCAAAAAAAAAAGAACAAAACACCACAAAACAAACTCTCAAAGAATAACTTTAGCAAGCTCTTATCAGTCACCTAATTGCATATGATAAAACCATTGACTAAAATTTCCCATGTATATTTTTCTGCTC